AGTCATTTTATATGTACAGACTAAGAAGCTTAGGATTAGAATAGCACAGATGGTTCAAGTATTAACCAGAAATTACTTTTTGCACACACACAAAAATGTGTCAATAAGTAAGCTACTATAGAAATAAATAAACCACTTTTCTAATTCATTAAGAGAACAGGAGTCCGTTCTAGGGGTGTATCACATGCCTTGTTTTAATGCTCTGCCTTGTGCAAGGAGAAATCAAGGTATAATACTTTAATAAATAATCAGTTCTGAAGGCTTTGAATTACATTGGTATCTCTCTCAGCTCGCCGTTTGGCAATGCTTATTGCCTTCCCCAAAACAGTTCACACTGGAAGTAATCTCCAATGTTTGAGGCTTTTTTGTCTGTGCCAATAATTTTTTGTCTGTGTCCTGAGAGGCACAGCTCTTGGGGATGAAGAAATTGATATTAAGTATGGATATCAGGACATGAGGGTTTTTTTACAGCTGTGGCTCCTGCCAATGGAATTTTATTAAGCACAAATTAATGAAGCTTTAGGACTCTCAGTCCTTACTCCCACAGGGCTAGTAAAAGTAAAATTCTGATTTAATAAATCCTCCAAATAAGGAAGTAACCACCCCCACCCTCAACCCTACAACTCGTTACTTATGCAATCCAAGTTGAGCTTCCTGCATGGATTGCACAGTTCTTTATTTGGTTGTACTTGAAATCATAAGTACTGGTATGACATTTTTTGAAGCATGTATTGAGTCACAAGGTACTGTGAATTTTGTTAATTGAAAAGTCTGAATTCATCTCCTCCAATCACAAATAATTATTTAACTGATATGGAATATTGTCTCGCAGAACCCCAAGGTCACACAAGATCTAAGATACTTATTATTATATTTATAACTCATGGGGTTGCCTTATCTAAATCTTATCTAAATTTTTGCCTTTACAATACACTATGTGATTATTTGAAAGGATTTGCAAATCATGATAAAATTATGTTAAGCATAGTAGTACTTAGCCTTTTAGGAGTGTCTATGAGGTACATCTTTAAAAAGGCTAGTTTAGGCCAAATAAGGAATGATTACATCACTTAGATGCTAAGTATGCTGGGTAACTGCAAATTATTCATCAGTTGTTTGTTACTATTTTTTTACTCCTACTTCAATGTAACTCGATAAAGCTAATGTGGGGAATTTTTTGTTTTGTTTTGTTTTTTAATGGGGGTCTTTTGTTTGTTTAGGTTTGATTTTTTTGTGGTTTTTTTGTGGGTTTTTGTGGGGGGTTTTGGGTTTTTTTGGTTGGTTGGTTTTTTGTTGTTGGTTGGGTTCTGTTGGGGATTTACTTTTGTGGGGTTTTTTTTAAATAAAATAAACTAAAAATGCTGTAGATTGCCCCTAACAGTAAAGAAAAATATATTTCTCCTATCTGCTTTCAGTCACTGAAGATACAAGCTCTTCAGTAGGTAAATTAAAACTCAAAATTCCCTCATTTTTGTAATTTTTCAAAATGCTCTTTAAAAAAAAAAAAATTTGTAAACAGCCAGCAAACACCAAAAATTGATTTTATACTTAGCCAAACTAAACAAGGATTTTGGATTTTGTTCAATATTTAGAGTTCAAGGCAGGTGGCATTTTTTTATTTCTGAAAGAATTATTAGATGTAGTTTTATCGCAGAATATCATTACAATACATAAAATCATCTTTTTCCCACATGTGCTGAGGGAAAAGGTCATAATCTTGGCAGAAGTTCCTTTAAAGAAAGTGACATCATGTGGATGCTGAATTATAGGGAGAGTAAAAAAATGTATAGAGAATATGAGGAACAGGAGAATCTGGCCTAAAATTCCCTCATGCTTTACACAAACACACACAAGTTTAGAAAACAATTCCTATTTCTCAATTAATTCCTAAATGTAGTCCCTATGCAGCCAACCTGTGAGAGTCTAAATGCCATGAGTATGTGACCTCACCAACCGTGCTCTCAGACAGCTCATGAGTTTCTGCACAGAGTGGGTATCATTTAGTGGATTAAATTGGCCAAAACTATTCAAATCATGACAAAGTGCAAAGGCTCAACTATTTTGTAAATAACATGTTATAAACAAATGTTAATGATGCAATTGAACATCATTCGTTACAGGTCTCAATGGACGATGGAAGGAGCAATTAATATCTTTAAAAATCCATAATTACATACTTATACAATAGTCTGTAATTGCAAATAATCATGTAAATATATAATTGAAAAATTTAAAAAATCTGTGTTGCATCAGAAATAGGATAATAGGGACTTTACAGTTGGAGTGAACTAACCATCTCAGATGAAAGCTTGTTCATTCATGTACATCAGTCTAAGTTCTCCATTAGAGAAAACACTTGCTGCCTGTAGGCCTTGAAAATTATAAAGCAAAAATCTAACTTTGAATTTGAGTTAAAACAAGTAAATTGCATTTTTGTTTAATTTTTTGGTAGAAGCAAAACTTATTTCCCTGGAAGAAAGAATGGCTTTCAAACAGACAAAAAGATAATGTTGAAAACAAGCTTTATGCCCCATAACTTATTAAGAAATAAGTGAATATTTTTGATTTGAAATTAGCTCTTTTTCTACAGTAAAGTGGATAAACACTTCAAGTAAATAAGTGGTTTTTTTCTGCAAGTGTAAAATAAGTAATTTTTTTCCTTAAAACTAAGGGAAAGGCAGCAGGAGAATAGGAGTAAGTTAGTTGAATACAACAGAGTTAATAAACCATTCCATCATATCCATTAGTAAATAAGCATGGTAGACTGAGGTCTAAAGATGTAAGTGATATAATACTGATTTAAACTGAGTTTGTCTGCCACTGAGAATTCTCAATGGAACTTGGGGTATAAGGCTGCAATTCTCATCACCATGAGATTTGGGGTAAACTTCCTTATGAGAAAATGTCTTTATAGCTGCAATCAGTGTTTGTATTTACAGACAAATTTTAATCCACCAGACTTTTAAAAAATAACACCGAGTTGAAATTAACACATAATGATGGAAATATCTTTTACTCTTTATATGAAATTAGGTAGTAATTTCTATGCCATGGACATTTCTTAACATGTTTGCTTACCCCTCATAGGATAAACAATATATACTGTTGTTTTCAAACAGTTACTGGAGAGAATTTCTTTATTTCTGTCAGGAACAAGCACTCACACACACACGAGTGAACACACAGGCACACACACCCTTGTTGGGGGCAAACATTTAGGAAGTTGCCTTGAGCTCTTTCAAACTATTTTTTTCCTGTACTGTTCTTGTTGAATGATACAGTCATGGTACAACTACATTTTCTGTCACCTCTGCAGCCAAATGCTGTAATGATATTGCTCATTTTGAAAATACAAGAGATAATCCCTACCCTGAGATCTCTAGTCCTTTCCAGAATTTGTAATGAATTAGTAGCACTGGTCAAGATGTGAAGAAAGGAAAGAGGAGTTCTTTAGCAGCAAGATTTATCCACTGATTTTGTTAACTACATTAAAAATGTTGTTGCTTTGCTTAAAAAAAGAAATATTAAAAAAAAGTTTTCAACAAGATTTATCATATTAAAGTACAAAGAATACAATTTGTTAGTTCAGTCTGGACAAACAATAGACAAACTGCAGTCCCTGTCACCTTTTTAATTATGAAAACAGCTCAGCTATGTTATCAATCCATCTTCCTGTCCTATTTCCTGCTTACATTTCTATCTTTGTACTTTCCTCCCTCCTAACATTGTGGTACTCTTAAAGGTTAAGAAGAAATACCTGTCACTCCTTCTTCTATGGAGTATATACATGGGATAATTAGAGAATGCTGAGTCCAACAGATGGATTCTGCACTAAGTACTGAAAGTCACAGGATTAGAATGCTTATTTTTTACAGTTGGAAAAGTGGAGACTATTCCACAGAACTACAGTGTTGGGGTTTTTTTCTTCAAAGCTCTGCCTTCTAGTGCAGTCCTTTTTCATTGCTTGATCAAATGTTTATGCTGTCAAAGGGACTGGCCAAAAGCAGGAATGTGATTGCTCATGTCAATTTGTCAATTTAACGTAGAACACTGAATACAAAGAGCTACAGAGGTCTTGAAATGGGTTATATGGCTCTAAGTGAAATTGAAGCCTTAAACTCTCCCTTAAATGGTAGGTTATAACAATTTGTGCATTGCACCAGCTGAAGCCTTTTCAGGACATGAGGTTTAATTTCCAAATATAAAAAGTTACAACAAGGATTTCTGATTGAATAATAGGTGTTTTTATTAAATCTTTTCAATAAGGGATTTCCTTCTCAGACCTTGCCTATTCTTACTTTCACAGCTGGAGAGTTCATCCTCCATTCACTTGGCACCTTTCAGTGAGATAGCAGGATCAACAGAATATGTCAGTACCATGTGAACTGGAAGATGTGGCTAGATTTTACTCTGGACTTCCTTTTACTAGATACTTATTGCCTTCACTGCTTCCCTGCTGGGAATACAGACAATAGAAGAACAGAGCTAACTATGGAGGTGCTTACCACAACCATTTTACTATAGCAGGTTTGGATTTATTTCCAGCAAGTGGCTCTTGTGGAAGGGAAAAAAATATTTCTTTGAAGCTAAAATTAGCATGAAAAAATGGTCCAATGAAATTTAAAAAAACATGCCTCTGCTGGTCATTTATGTGCAGGAAGTAGATGTCATCTTTATGCCTAGTTTAAGTAGATGTCATCTTTATGCCTAGCCTAACAAAAATTCAACAGTGACAAGCAGTAATTTACACCACAATCAATGATGGACTTTAGAATAATACAAACTGGGTCCATTCCAGGTTCTGGAAAAAAATTTATTAAAGTGGAAGACTTTTAATATTATCTTACAAGGATACATAAAATAGGAATTAATTATGAATGGATAGAAGGCAAAATATTCTTAATAGAAGTAAGCAATAAAATATTCACGTAAATACCTAGGGAAGTGTTCAGGTTTGTGAGGGATAATATCAGTAGTGAAGGATAATATCAGTACCATTGGAATTAGCTCAGCTGGTTAGAGCATGGTGCTAATAACACCAAGGTTGTGGTTTTGATCCCCGTATGGGCGATTTACCTAAGAGTTGAACTTGATGATCCCTATGGGTCTCTTCCAACATAGAATATTCTGTATTTATACCCTGTGAACTCTCCACTGTCTTTAATATTACTGAAACATAGTGGTTGCTGATAACAAATCAAGATACAGTCAATTCATTAATTTTATAACTGAAGTGTAGATCTGAGTCAAACAGCAGTGGTTTTAGCACAATAATAAAATAACTACTGCCAGTCACTGACAAATGCTGGCTTCAAGTATTTCCTGCTATTCGTCACTCAAAACAAATGTTATATATTTAGACCAACTGGATATAAAGTAACGTATCAATAAAAGCTAAATCTGAATCAAAATAAAGATTTCCTAATTGAGACCAGATTTTTCAAATTGAATCCATTACTGCGGACTACTGTGTGTTCTATCCTTATAAACTACACTGCTCTCAAAGCAGAGATATATAGGATCAGTACACAGGTCTGAAGTTAGCATAATCAAGAGGAAGACAACAGGATTTACTCTATTTCATAGTCCTTATTTAACAGAGGGTGATATCTGAAGAATGAGAGAGCATAAGAAATGGCTCATAGTGCCTTTCAACAGGTAACCACCTCCTTCTCTACACCTCTGATGAGGAATCACCTGCAATTCTCTCCCTCTTACTCCCTTTCCTAGTTTTGCTAGATTTATAGAGAATTAGGACAAAAGTAATAGTGTGAAATAAATGTTTTTCCATAAAGAGATAGGTGCATGTGTGTGTTCATGCCTAGGTATCTATAAAATCCTCCTCTATATTTACTCTGGCTGAAACATTGGGTCAAGGACATGGAAATTACAATCCATATGTGATTGAATGCCAAATACCAAAGATGTCCCACACAAACACATGGATTCTCACAGAAGAAATGATATAGAATTAAGGCAAAGGGACATTTGAGTTTAAGGAGGGAAAACCAATACTTGTTACACTTAAGTTTTAAAAATTATACTCCAGAGGGTCATAATTTTCTCAGGGAAGTGAGGGGAGTCTTTTATGTTGGGACATTTTCAAGTAAGATGGATAGAACCTGCTGGTTATATACTTGGAGCAATGACTTGGCAAAGAGAATACTTTTTCACTATTTTTTAAAATTATTTTAATGTATCATGAATTTTCCTTAGGAAATATCTTGTACTGAACTTAGTTCTTGCAGTCATACCAGTGATAGTCACAACATGACTTTTCATTAAGCAGTCTGAAATGAATCCTTCTGTGATATCTCATTCTTCCAACGACTATCCCTTCCTTGTACTGAAAGTAAGCAATGTAGAAACTCAGAACTAGGCAGATCTGTCTACCCCTCAGCTGTCTAATAGTCAACTGTACCCTATTTCAGATAATTGCAAGAGGATTTGATCATGAATGTGTTTGAAGAATTTAACCAAAAGTGTCTTGAAATTTAAACAAATCCTCTAGATATGCCTTATATAGTATGTGACAAATAGAATACCTTTCCAATACAGAATTTATTAATTTTTCTTTCTCTTTTATGAAGAGGTTGTTTCTTTCTAGGAAGTTACTGTATATCTTCTCACCTGAAGAAATTCTGGGAGGAGAATTTACACCCCAGAGAAGGTAGCTTCCTCATTTAGTCTGGCAAAGGTCTGAAGAATACCTTGCAATTTTAGCAGCAACACCACTAGAAATCTATCAACAATATTAGGAATTAAACACTGGTGGTAGGAAGTAGTAATAAATGCTTTTCAATTCATCAGTTATTCTTGGTAGATGTACATTTTCTTTTTTGTAAAGAAAATATCTGAAATGCAAATTACTTTGGTATGTAGCTATTGTGTGAAGTAAGGACTTTGTAACATAAGAGGTAACAGATATCCTTATATTAATCTGCAGCATGTTGAAGGAAGAGAGAAGAAAACTTTCTTTCCTAAACTTTCTTAAAAAAATTAATTGTCTTTAATGATTCACAAGACCTTATTTATAAATCAATATAAATGTTTTCCCCATTTTATAGTTTTTTCCAGAAAAGCTCTTCATTGAAATAAAAAAAATCAATGAAAAATGAAAGTTCAATGACAGCATTGCACTACATAATTAAATAGTGAGGCTAAACTTCAAGCAAGTTTTCTTTGAAAATGCACCACTTTCTAAGGATGGTTTAATGTATGCTGTGATTAAGCTAAAATACATCCTTTGAAAGGCATGTCAAACTGCATGTGCTAAAGAACAGACAAAAATTAGCTATTATTATTGTTTAAGGCTATTTTTGCACTATGGTACTTCTGTCTAAGAGAACATCTTCTTAAAATACAACCCAAAATAAAACTCTTAATCTCTTTTTGTTTGTAGATTGGTTTTTTTAATCTGTTAATCTTACTTTTACATAGTTATGCATGACATTATTTTGGCCCTGGAAATGCAAGGTGACATTAAATATACTTCCATGACAAGTTTAAAAAGGATTTCCCCAACTCTGAGTACCTGATAAAATGTCTTTACTGAACTGAAGTTGGAAGCTTTGGGAAAACCCTTAAATTACTAAGAAGAATGCTTTCAATACATGACAAACAGCAAGCAAATGATACACTGCTAAACATAGCCTTTGAATACAATTCACGTTGGTTTACGTGCGGTTTATAATTAATTGCAAGTGATTCATGATCTTAAATTTCCAAATCAAAAAGAAATGCAGACAGCTGATTCATATTTTTTTACGGTGAGCAGTAATTTGTACCTAATGACTAGTAAAGTGAAATTACTGAGTGTGCTCAACTGAATTTCCTGAATACATCAGTGGGAGTTTTATAATTTTACAGTCAGCATGATATATTCAGAATCAGTTTTAAAAGTGACATTTGCTTCAGATTAGGTTTATAAATAAAATTAGAACTGAATTGGCAGTATTTTCATTTTAATCCCTTTTACTCAGGGATATATAATTTTGCTTTTATGTCTCTTTACATTAATTAGAAATAGCAGTTGCAGGCACAAGATTAAAACCACCATTACATGTCAACCTCCATGAGCAAGGAGGGCATTGTCTGAATGGAAAATTAACTATTCTTTCAGTTAAAGGAAACAAAACAAAACAAAAAAATGCTTACTGTTTTTATTGCATCTTTCCTGTGGATCAAGTCTCCAGAAAAAATAAGCCCAGAACTTGTAATAAACCTGTGCATGCGCCAGGTTACAAGCTTGCTTCACATCTGTTCCTTGCCTGGTGAGTCCAGCTGTGTTTACAGCATGGAAGGACATCACAGCATCTTCTCCCACCAGCCATCCTACAAATGTCTCTTCACACAATTCTACAGCCTTGATTTTGCCTCACTTGTGTTTTGCACAGTCTTTGTGTTGGTTATAACAGGTCATGCTGGCCAAGGAGTTGGTGCAGATTTGGGAAAAATCCCAAGTTCCTTCGTACCAAGAAGGCTGTTGGACAAATGGCACAATATCAAAATTTCTGCCTTTACCCCTCCACAACTCTGGCTTCAGGCTGTCAATTTTCCCTCTTTCAACCCTGCTTTCTTGAATAGGCCCAATGGAATGCCTGTCTATTCCTCAGTATGCTCTGCCCAAATCAACGTGTCCAGGACCACCTACAACTCCTTCCTGAAGCAACCTGGGAGTGGGCACCAAGAGTTCCTGATGCCCACGATCCTCAGGAGAGAGGTCTGGCATCCCAACCATGTACCCAGACCCAAAGACTAAACCTGGGTGGCTCTTCTACCCCACTTAGTCTGGCCTCTGTCAGAAATGATTCACACAGTAACATCACCTATAGCCAAAACAAAGGGCTTGTTTTCAGTAAATAAGGAAATTTTCAATAAATTAAATATTTATGGGAACAAAAAAAAGAGAAGACTTTACATGCATATTAATCTCTTCTACACACCTACTGTACCGGAGATATTTCAGGGCAGCCTAAGTTCATCCAGTACTTTTAACAGACATCTGTCTGTATTTTCCAAAAAAATTTCCCCTTTTGCATTCTACACTTGCCAAAATTCTCTGGTGCTTCCTTTTATACAGCTCAAGTAAATTTTTCATGTTAACTGAATAGTCAAAAGGTTACCAAATAACAGATATTTTATGGTACCAGGAAGCTACATAAACTTGTTAATATAAATACTACATATGTTCATGTGCATATATATGTATTATATCAATATAATTAAATAGCTTTTCAATGACTAGAACACAGAGCATTCACACTCATAATTTACCAGAGTATGGACAGACATATGGACTGCTGTCCCATCTTTATCTCTTGATTACTGGAACACATGAACTGAGGCATGTGTTTTTATGTATGGCTGAAGTCTCACTCATGATACCATGGCAGTACCATACACTTCAGTGAAAAGTTTTAGACATCTCTATAACTGAATAATTAATTTTTTATACCAGAGATGCTGAATCTTTATTCAAATCTAATTATGATTTGGCAGAGCTCTAAGGTCTGGAATAGATAACGTCTGAATACCTCCAACTTGCCTTTATAAAATGTGCCATTTGGTACAGATGAAGATAAGCAATGTAGGTCTCTTGATAACTTATGAGAACTGTCAGTGATGGATGTAGCCAGATTTTTAACTCTGTCAAATACATTATAAGATTGTGACGGGAAGGAATATGCTGAAATATGGAAGTTGTGTTTGTATCTTTTCACAGGGGCTGATTATACTGGAAGGGCCAATGAAGTATGTACATGAGATAAAGCAAAATACTTTTTTTCTAATGATCTCAGAATTCACTGAAGTGACAATGAATTACAGATTTATTCATGCTTCAATAACAATATTTTGGGACAGCAGGCAGATTTCTGAGGTTTTGTAATTATAAAACAAAAAAAGCAAAATAAAAGAAAATTTAGTAAAAACAATTGGCATGAAAATGACATGAAGATCATTGAACAAGCCAAAAAAAAAAGGGAAAAACTAGATGCTTCCTTCATTTACTCCTAGCTACTTTTGTGCATTTCTCTGTGTGCAAATGTGTGTTGACATGTTCATCTTTT